TGAAGAACCCAACCCGGTTTTGGTCGGTGTCCATATAAACGAACGTCCCCCGAGCATTCAGTCTGAGAGTCGGAAACAGTTCTAAGAGTTCCAGAGAGCTGTTGAGCTCAGAGACCAGCCTTGCAGGAGCTGACTGCAAGATTTCCACGCATTTCGACTTAGATTTCTAACCAAAAACAATTTTTTTTAATGAAGAACAACTTAGACTTACACCACCAAAGCAAGTTTTAATGAATATCGCCTGAAGATACCAAAAAGTAGTTTATTGAAAAACAACTTGAGATATCAAGACTTGCTTAAGAAACGCAAAAGTGTCACAAATCCATGGAAGCAGGTTGGGAGAAAGACGTATTCAGCAGACAGATATAAAGATACTTGTTATTTTTTTTTTTCAACGCATTTGAACCTCTTGAGTTTATTTCATTATTTTTCTTTTACATACACTTGTGCGGTGTCGCCTTTGCCCCAGATTCAGCTTGCACTACGGCCCATTGCCTGATTGATTTCATCTACCTAAGATCAAATCACAACATGGGTAGGTTAGACTAGAAATCAAAGCAGTTACTTCGGTAACCAGACATTGGAGATGAGCTGGGAATGGCAAAGCTGATATCGAATCTAACCAGACATCGACCGCGATCAAGACAACCAGAGGGGTTAGTGTCACACATGGTTCCGTGGTAAACCAGGTTTCTCTCCGAACCACCCAGCTCAAAGCTACAACCAAAAATCATGATAGAAATTGCACAAAATAAATTTGAATCTTTGGAGATGATGGATGTCAAGGAACAGAACCTGCAAATATCTAATCCACCCAAACAATGATCCCATCAAAAATAGAAACATGGCTAACAACATACTCCAATAGAATGTAAGAGATGAGAAGGCCTATCTTTGAAAACTAATACTCTTCATCACAGCCTACAGTGCAGCAATTATATGCTTACAGGAAACACACATTAAAGGGGATGAAACTTTAAACATTAAAAAAAAAAATACAAGTCCTACATAAATGATATTCTCAGGAGGTGCATCAGTTATAATTAATAGCATACCACATAGCGAAATCAAAGCAATTGCAATATCAATGTGACACTATTTGGCTATGGTAATTGGCTAACTAATTAACCATAGAAATTAAAACAGGAAATACTTAAGGCGAAAAAGAGCTATCCCGAAAGATATCCCAATCGATGTTTAAAAAAAAAAAAAAAAAATTTTATTTTATTTGCGAAAAAGATACTTTTTACAAAAGACCGTAAACCCGAGTGGTAGCAATGGTGATAGGCAGAGGTGAATGGATGAGAAAGACTGAGAAGTTATTAACGCCCACTGAAGCGATTGGTATGAGATATCAATGTGAGAGAGGAAGAGTTTAGGAGGATAGCTCTCCTCTGATCTCCTCCTCACAGACGAGGGAGACCCCTCCCCCCAATGGAAAGTGATTAATTTTCCAAAAATAGGAAGTAATCAATTTTCCCTGCCTGACAACAAAGAGATTTCTTGTTGGGAATCGAGATTTACCAAGAAATCCAGGCCGCATCTGGCCCTGCACCGGGTTTTGGTCGGTACTCATATAAACAAATGTCCTCAGGGAGTTCTAAGTTGCTCAACAGCTGGTTTTGGAGTTAGTCAGAGCTTAACCAGTGTGTTGCCTCACAGAAGCTGACCAAGAGATTCCACAACCTCCGAGTTTGCCTATCCTACCAATAGCAAGTTATACTGATGAACGAAGCCAAGCCAACAAGGAAGAACCAAATCAGTTGATTTAAGATACCAACTTGCTTGAAACATAGAAGTCACATTCATAGATAACTGGCTGGCAGAAAATCACCCTCCTGTAAATAACAGAAGGATAAAGTTAATTTGTTATTTCTTAACATACTTGAACCTCTTGGGTTTTTATTTATTTTTTTTTTTTCCTTTGTGCTTCTGTGATACCACCTTCAGTCTACACTCAGCCTACACTACGGTCTGACGCCTGATTGAACTTGTCTACCTAAGATCAAAGTCACAATGTGGGTAGGTTAGACTTGAGATCGAAGCAGTTACTCCAGTAACCAGACGTTGCAGGTGAGCTGGGAACAATAGAGCTGGTATTTAACATCGATGACCAGAATTCAACCCTGGACAGGTCAGTGTCCCATATTGGTATCCTGACCAGGGGATTTTGCCAAGTAGCAACAATCACCGATCGACCGGGACACAGGCTGGTGCCAGCAACAAAGAGTCAACCCCAAAATGCCGGTAGAAGAAATATTACAGTTTTGTGCTGCGAGTGGGACTTTACCATGGGTCGACGACTGGGTGTCACATCAAAAACATTACACAAAACAATATTTGCTCATTGTATATACCACCTAATGAAACCCTTAATGAATCCAAGCTGGATAACTTAATTGAACAACTACCAAAACCTTGATACTGATGGGAGATTTAAACAGCCACGACTTAATATACAAATAACAAACAAAAGAAGAAAATCAATAGAAATGATAAATCAGACAACTAGGCCTTTACAAGACAAATATATATTTCCACCCAGCAACAGGCACATTTTCTGCATTTGATCTGAAAATATGTGACCCTAACACCTACAGGTTAACTCATGTGAAAGTGACCACTTCCTGATTATATTGGAAAATCAGAACACTGAATTAGATCATGATGGAACCTTCAAAAACCTAATTGGGAAGAATTTGGAAAGTCGTGCCAATCCTAATTAATATCAGGGGCTAATACAAACAAAGAACAACACATTACATGCTTCACAAAAACATATGCTATTGCTAGCGAAAAATATATCAAAATGCTCTACCTCGACAAAAAAAACAAAAAAACCTTGGTTCCATGAGGAATGTAAAAAAAATAAAAGCAGTAAGAACCTGCCATGTAACCTTAAGAAAATTTTAAAATAATCCAACAAAGGAAAACTTAAATGTACAAAAACAACAGCGCTAAAACACATAAAATGATTAAAGAAGCCAAACAAAGTTCATGGCATAACTATGTAGGAAAAATTAATTCCAATACAAAACCAAAAGAAAATATGACATTGTCTTCAAAATATTGGGGAAAAAATAATAGCCATTCATTAAAACATCTTATAAATAACACAAAAATTACAAACAATATATGGCAAACCACCTAGCTGAGAACTTTGCCAAAAAATCAAAATCAAAAATTCCAAGCCATTAAACAAAATGGAGAAGAAAAATCAAATTCCAAACAAGAAACACACTTACAATTTATCATAACAGAAATACAAGAGTCACTAAATAAATCCCACAACTTAGCAGTTAGATCAGATGAAATACACTACCAGTTCCTAAAATGACTACTAAAAACACCTAAATTACTTACTAAAAATCTATAACATGAATTGCTGGCAAAATTCCTAATATGGAAGCAAGCTACAGTGATCCCCATACCTAAACCCACAAAAGATACTACAGATCCAATGCATTAAGTAGCTGTATATGTAAGACACTTGAAAGAATAGTAAATGATGGACTTTTGTGTTATTTAGAAAGCAATAAAATAATTACAGAATACCAGGAAGGATTCAGGCAAAAGAAGCACAGTAGACCATTTAGTCATTAGAAATATATATACATGAAGTATGTTTAGAAAAACAAATTTAGTAGCAATTTTTTTTAGACTTAGAAAAGATGTATGACTTCACGTTGAAATATGGTGTAACAAAAGATCTAAAACAAAAAAGCGACCGTATTTTACGCAGAATTTTTATAATTTAAATCATAAAATCTACCAGGATTGGCTATTACTATACTATTGCAATTAAGTCATCTTTTATAGTGCAAATTCATACTTGGAAGTATTTGATACTTCTACTTAGAATTAGTATAAGCTAGTGCATTGCAAATCTCATTAAAGAGCTACTTCTCTAAAATGTGTCTTAGCAAAAATCTATCTTTGGTTTCTGATATAACAAGATATTATGCACTACGGATGAATCACTTAAGATACAATTGCTGTAATTTGTCTTCAGAGCAGTGTCTGACTACAAACGGAGGAGGGATTTATAATCACCAGAAATATTCATGTCTTCAATGAGCTGGTTCAGCAGAATGGTACACATAAGCAACCACATGATTATGATGATAGGAGACAGGGTAGTATTGGGCTTTCCCTGACCAGAATGGAAAGAGTGGAACAACCTTTATTGGAAACAAACATCTGCTCATTGAAAAACTGAGAACCAGCAAGATATCATTAAACAATATAGACATCTTTATTTTTGAGTTTTCAACTCCTCATGAAAGTTATGCCCATGCATGGAAATCTGATCCACCACTTTTCCAAATTTTTTAAAAAATTTGCAAATAATAGCGATACAATTCCAACCATTATGATGGCATCATTTCTTTTTGAGTTATGATGAAATATTTACTATGAAATAATTTTCTCCCAGTCAGGCCTGGTGATAACCAAAGATGTTGTCATGTGAATTAAGATTAAAAAAACAGGAATACCAGCATGCACATGAACAAGATCATTAAGTCTGTCTTTGAGTACACTAAAGATATAGTTTAATTAAGTGAAAAATACTTCAAACTCTGAAAAAAGTTCTTCATTTCACCCACAATAGTATAATGTAAAACATTGCATAATACAAACAAAATTTTCACCATTGTGTTTTTGTTTGTTTGATGGGAAATGTAGTTGTAAACAAGTTTTTATTTGTAATAAACCTTATATAGAACTTTTTTTTGTTGTTGTTGTTCACCAATTCAAACTTGTTAAGCTTTTACATTTTGTTTTAATAATCTTGCAAATGTGAGTAAATTCTTACTTGTATAAAATTACTTTGATACTATAGATTAAGGGTCAAGTTTAACTTTCCTAATTCTTTAAATTTTATACTATATTAACTATCTCACTTGAAAGGCATAAGCTGATAATTTTATTTTATTTTTATTTATTTATTTTTTATTTTTTTTTTTTAAAGTCATTCTAGTCATATTTGTGTATTATAGGTAAAATCACCAAATGTGGCCATATCTACTGTTGGTCATGCATCCTCCATTACCTTGCTCTGTCTGAGAAGAACTGGCATAAATGTCCCATTTGCAATGAAGCTGTACATCAAAAAGATTTGAAAAGGTAATTTTTCTCTTCTGTAATGAGCAACTGTACTTTTTAACCTCTAAAAATAAAAGGATTCATTTTTAACTCATAAAAATATAATTGTTTTTCATGGTCAAATTAAAGTAATGTAGAATTCATAAAATTTATTTTTTGACAGTGATTGTGTGGTAAGTTTAGTGGTAGGGAAGCACACTTATTAAACTGCATATAGTATTTGTGAAAATTGGTTTCAGACAGGAAACCATTTGTAGAATGATTTCAAAATATGCAGAATTCTTTTCTAAAATTCTTAAATTGTGCATAAATAACAAATGTGCTGGTACTGATAACAGATTTTGTGTTTTGTCGGATGCTTGTAATAAATTTGCTTTCAAACATTTTACACATTTGTTATTTTAGTGTGAAGACCATAGAAGTTCATCGCTACAAAGTTGGTGATATGATCAAGCTAAATTTGATGAGGCGTGACAAAGGAAATACAATACCTGTGGCCAGATCAGTTTGGATTGGACTTCCATCAAAACCATTTAATGTAAAAGGTAAGTACTCGCAACCAACCATTAAGTGAAGAATATTCCATAAATCAATTTGAATTTTTTAATGTTTTGATATATATCAAACTAAATTTTAAAAGCTGGTTAACCACTAGACCACACTAATAAAAAAAATTGCTGGTTTTCAAGATTAAAGTTATGTAATTATGAAACTGCTGATGATAACCATAAAAATTCATACAACCACTACTGCAATAACTGGTGTCTCAACAAAGCCTTCATTAGATTGTGCATAGTTTCAGGGCCCACTACATCATTACCACTAACCCAGATTACTACTAGCAATACCTCACCATGTCATTAATCTTTGTTGGTTCTTCATCACATTGCAGGAGTACCAGGTAGAAGCAAATGCAGTCTCTGCCCTAATCTTGAAGTTCATCTATTTGATATCAATTGGTGATCAGTCAAAGGTGAAGTGGTATTGCCACCCTGTCATCAGACTATAAAAGGATAAACATATTCCCCCCAACTCCCAAACATAGCCAAATGAATAAATCTATTTGTTATTAAGTATGCAGCTCATAAAAATTATTGAACACAGGAAAATAGAACAAGGAAAAATTTGTATAATTAATGAAAAAGAAAATTCAGCTGGGATTAGAAAACTATATTGCATGAGGCTTCCTATGTCCTTTTGCTGCGTCCCTTTTCCTGTGTCTATTGCAATGATTGAACACTGCATCTAATGTGCAACCTCTGACTGCTAATCCTGCCTCTGGTAACCACCCTCAAACACACATACACACACTAGTCTAACTAGACATTTTAATGACCAACGTGTTTCTAGCAGTCAAATTTAACTTACAAGAAGATTTATCAACCAGTCATGAGAGCACAAATAATGTTACTCATTTTTCTCTTTAAAATGTTTCTAGTCATATTTTTCTTTAATATATATTAATGACGTGATAAATCATTTTTATTCTTCGTTTGCATTGGTTTTGCTTCCACTTGGTTAGAATGTGTAAATACTAAAATCTCAAAGTGTTCCATTTTTTTTCTTCAAATATTATATACAACATAGCTTACATGTTTCCTCTTTCTTGAGAAATATGAAAGTGATAAAGAAACTAAAGTTTTGATTTTGTATTTAGAAAATCATATGGCCTGTTACTCTAAGGTGGTAACTGCAACTCCTGCTGATGTCCAAGAATTGGTGACAGAACCAGAAACTGCACAACTTGTAAAACAATTGGATGAGGCTGAAGTAAGTGCTTTCATGTATCTTTTGATTTGCTTCTTTCTCCTCAATAAGTTTGTATTGATTTAAAAAAACAAAACAAAAAAAAACGTGAGTACAGCCTAAAAATATTGTTTTTACAGGAGTCTGAGAAATGTTTCATTGAATCTGCATTGCTGCAACAAAAGGTAAGGCTTTGTTGTTTTTTTGTTAAGTGAAACCTAGTTTGTTTATCATTGAACTCTTGCTGTGGTAACTAATTTTGTACATTTTCTTTAAGTTTTTTTTTTTTTTTTTTTAAATCTGTTAATGTTTTTCCGAGAAATGTTTTTGTTCAACTTTGACTAAAATTCACTTTATATTTAATAAAGAGTAAGAATTTGTTCTGATAAAATTACTTTAGTTAAATATTAGAGCTCTTGTGATAAGGATCCTAATTCAAATAACATTGCGTCTAATGGCTAGTTTATTTTACTTGTAAAGTTTACAATAGCAAAATTTTAAATATGAGCCATTGTTAATACACCATTAGATATTTGCAGTCTTTCTCATTTTATTTCAGGATCGAACATCATTGCAACTGCCATCCCCTATTCACAAAGCTCAAGAACAGCAACAGCTTTCTTCAGAATTGGAGAATTTGACTTTAACCAAATCTAAACTTGATAATTCAAATTCTAAGGTCAGTGCTTAAAGAATTTGGTATTCACTATTGGTTTAAAAGAAATTTTAAAAATTGGGACTAAAATACAGGATTTCCTCCTTGATGCTTTTTAAATATAACTTTAAAATTTCAGTGGTTAGAAAATTTTGAGCAAATAACAACCTGATAGAATCAAATAAGAATAAGATTGATAACAATAGCCACTTAATTTCTTTTCACAATTCTGCTCAAATATCATGACTAGGACTGTTTTTATAAACTGATCGAGTTTCAGTATTATTGACAGTGACATTTTTGGCCTGTATATAACTTTTCAATAGCTTAATTTGGGGGTGGTGATTGTGTTTACTATTTAAGGTAAACGGCACTTGTGAACTACTAGGATAAGTAATTATCAATACAAGATTTTCCTAAATTACACATCCATTTTGGTTACTGTTTAATAAGTTATTCTAATAATTGGAGTGAAGTTTTCTGATAATTTAGTTTGTTTGAAGAGTAACTCTTTAGTATTTCTCTTATGACTATGAAGTCATTAATAAATGTTCTTTTATATGACAGTTCAAATATGAAAAGGATTGTCTTAATTTCTAGTTTGTGGACATTACATTTATAAGAAGTAAAAAAATTTATAGAAACTTGCTAATACTATATGTAAGTACATCAATGTCTAGACCAGGGGTTCTCAACCTTTTTCATTATTTTTCAAGGTAATCATCCATGCCCACTTGTAAAAAAAAAAAAAAATAAAAAAAAAAAAAAAAAATATTAAAATATTTTACTTACATTACTTTTTAATGTGATCCTTGTGGTTGATGTTTTGCTGCTAGAAACTTAATATTTGATTTGAAATTTGTAAGTTTTAGTCTGGTCCCTCAAGTACATATATTAATTTTATTTCTTTCTTTGGTCAAGATTTTATTGATTGCACTGAATCCACATTTGACCAAATAAAAGGTTGGAAAGCATAGCAGTAGTTTAGCCATTTCAGATCACATGTTCAGATACAGCTGTTTGGCTGTATTTGACAGCCATAATTCTGTTATTCCAATACTTTCAAATTTGTAATTGCATTTCAATTTAATAAGTTCTTCCTGCATGTTTTCACTGACAGCTATGTCACAACTGAAGGGATCATCATCCACAGATGGACCTAACAAAAATAAATCTGAAAATTGGCTACTTAGTTCTTTCAATTTCACTAAATATTTTGTGTACTTTTTACTTGTTTGTTCTGAGAGGAGTTCACTTTTGTTAACTCTGGCATGTTATTAAAATTTTTCTTCTGTATATTAATTCAAAATAAGTAATTTTCAGAAAAGACTTTTAGACATGTTTGCAATCTAGCAATATGCATAATTTACCTTGAATCTTGAGTGAAACTTCATTGAACTTTCAAAAAAATCCATGCTAAAAAGTAAATGTCATATTTGTGATGCCCAATTTCATCTGCCAAATTTTTCTTACCCAAATTTTCCAAGAAATTAACTATTGTACCAAATAGGTTTACAAATCTGGCCAGGAAGTTTCCTTTCGAAAGCCAACAGACTTCCATATGGATAATGTCTTGTATTCTGTTCTTTGGTATCAATACAAAACTTGAAAAAGTCTGTCATTTGCTGTGAGATTTTTTTTTATTGACTCTTTTAGTAACTACTGAAGATCAGGGCTAATGTTTTTGGCAACTAAATGATGTGCCACACAATGCAAGAATAAGACATATATTTTTTAAATGTGCAATAAATCCTTTATGCTTACCAAACATAGATGGAGCACCATCCATTGCGCAGGATACCAAGTTTTCAAAAGGTACTTGATTTTTGTCGAACCAAGATTCAGAAATGGATAATCCAGTGGTATCAGTTTCTAAAAATTTCACAAACAACTCCTCTTTACAGTTTGCAGTAATCATCTAAATAACGAACATATGCCATAAAAATAGCTCTATTATCACTCTATTCATCAATCTGAATTGAGAATCTAGTGCTTTTTAATTTTTCAAGTTGGTAGCTTTCCACATCTGACATTTCATCAATTCTTCTCCAGATTGAATCTTGCTGCAACACAGTTTTCATGAGTTTCAAAGGAAAGCTTAGCATTTTCAGCAACTGTATGTGCACTTCAGTTTTTGCAATTACTTGTGCTCTATCATAAGATGCAATAAAGCCACTTTCATTTGTTTCTGTAGTTTTTGTTTTCAAATAAGATGAAAGTATTTTGTTGGTTAGTTTTTCTATAAAATAAGCAATGGGTTTGTTCATTTTGTCAGGATATTATCTTTTAAATACTCTAAAAAACCATGACGACAACTTCACTTCATTAGAAAATGAGCTGTTGCAAATAAAACATGTTGTTTTGGATCAAACGGGCTTTCTACAAAGCCATAAACCAATTACTACTCCTACACATGTCTACATTTCTTTTTGGTGCTCATGATTAATGTAAAAAGAGCTAAAAATATAAGCACCAGGACAACTCACCATCAGGACTTTTTTCAATGTTTTTAATTTTTTAAATAAATGATTATAATTACTCTTAATTTTTAAAATCAATATAAATATGATTAAATCTTTTTCTTTTTAAAATTAAATTTAAACATTTTATTTGTATTAATTTTAAAAGATTAAAAACATTAAATTTAAACATTTTATTTGTATTAATGTTTTTAATCTTTTAAAATTAATACAAATAAAATGTTTAAATTTAATGTTTTTAATCTTTTAAAATTAATACAAATAAAATGTTTAAATTTAATGTTTTTAATCTTTTAAAATTAATATAAATAAAATGATTGTAAATACTTTCATAATATTGCTTGATTAAAATAATTTTTTAATTTAATCATGTTAAAATGCCAAAAATACAAATTTCAAAATTCAAAAAAGTAAAGTTGTCCTGGCGGCAAATTGCCTCAGTGCTAGGTTGTCCTGGTACTGAGTTAGCAGTGCCAAGTTGTACCCTCTTGAAAAATATAACACAAAAACAGTATTTTTAACTCTAAGTTATTGACACTAACACTTGATTTAATTATTAATATAAAAACTGTTTGGTTCAAACCCTGCAGTGCAATGTGCGAGTGATAGCAGACAATGCTTGCTACCAGATACTGAATTAAATGTTTCAAAATCATTAGTTCAGTTGAAACATTGAGATGTGTAACTGATTTATGAAAAAAAAAAAAGTATTTCTGGCAGATGCAGTATGATGAAATAATTTAAAAATAATTTTTGTCCTTAAAGGGTTAAATACCTAATTTTGTAAACAGCTGAGAAAGCATAAATTTAGAAATGTTATTAAAACAAACTCGTAATTCTTATTTATGAATGTTTCCACTTGCTATGAAAGAAAGGGTCAATAAGGTTCCTGTTGAGAATGCCTAGTCTAGACAAATGAGAAGAGCGTTTACTTTTCAATATAATTTCCTTCCTTGTCAATAGACTTAATTCAGTAGGGGAATTTTAATCACATTGATCAAATGTTAAAGCGAAGTTTCTAAATCAAAATTTAGTTTAACAGCATCATGTCAGACTGTAAATCCCAGAGTAAGCATCAATATCTTAAAGCATTTTTGTTTTAAATTCCTTTTATTCTTAACCTTTCCAAAATATTGTTATGAGCGCATTCATTTAAAGGTGTTTAAATTCTTGTTTGTATTTATTTTTGTTATAGACTTCAAAATATTATGTTAATGCTTTTGATGAGATTGCTGAGGAAGTTGGCTCTGCTCCACTTGCCTGTTTAGGTGATCGTGACTTTAATTATTCATTGGACACTGCTGCTGGTGCTGCTGAAGAGGAACAAGTAGCCTGTATAGCAGCAGCTTCACCAGCCCCACTCACTGACTCTTGTGGCCCAACTGATCAGGAGCTGATGCTTACTGAGCAGGCAGCTCAGTGCCTGGAACTTCCTCATGATTTGGGAGATGAAGAGGCAGGCAGAAAACGTCGACCAAAATGTTCTCCCAAAAATACATTTTATTTTTATCAGGGTAAGTGTGTGTCCCTCTCCCAGAGCTATGGATTAAATAGTATGTCTTTTATCTGTAGAATCATTATTTTTAAAAAAACTTGTCAATATTCATTTGCAAAAAAGAAAAAAAAATTATCCTTACAATCCAAAATATATTTTCAGTTTTAAGTAACTCACATCCAGAGGAAGAAGACTTTTTTTTTTTTTTTTTTTTTTTTTTAAATTATGGGGAATGGTTTTCTAATTTAGAATAATTTCATTTTTCATGAATTGTTTTACTACTTATGAACAATAGAAATATTTGTGTACTCTGAAAAGGCAATTTCATTAAACATTATTTTTTTTTTTTTTTTCATTTGTTTTATTGTCCTTATACTGTGCTTTGATCCCAATCTTTACATGTTACCCAGTATAAACATATACTTCAGCTAGTAGCTGCAATATATTTACAGGCAAAAGAAAAATGTATCAAATGTCTCATTCTTTCAAAGCTGTTTATGGTTTTGAGCTGGACAATAAGCCTGACACCTTAAAATTACTATTTTAACTTGTACAAAAGAACAGATATAGACTTCTTCATCTATATATGAGTTTTAAGATTGTATTCTATAAAATGTCCCTAACAGGATTCTTCTTGGATTTTGCCAATAAAATTTAATTTTTAGAAATCTAAAAAAAAAATTTAAGTTTTGATACAATCTTGTGATACAAAAAGAAATATCGGGAATGTTTTTTAATTTATTTATGACTTGGTTAATTTTTATTTGGCTAAAGTTCTATAACTTGTATATTTCTTCCTATCATTCAAATCTTTCTTATATCCAGTCTGAGTATAATTTAATTTTGTTTTACCAGCGGCTGATGGTCAGCATATTTACATGCATGCTATTAATGCTCGATGCATGGTTCAGGAATATGGCAGCTTGATGAATTGTCCAGATGGCATTGAGGCTACAATTGTTGAGTTGGAAAGTGTCACCATGACTGAGGCAAGTAGCTAATTTACCTATTTGTAATAAAATATTTGCCTAAAATAACTGCCACCTTCAAGCCTATATGCTGGAAATTTCATTTTTTTTTTTTTTTTTTACTTATCACAGATACACATGGAAAATTACTTGACAAAACAGTTACTTGATTAGTAAAAAAAAAAAAATATCTATCTAGCTTGTTTTTTAAAAATCACAATTATATTGGATTGGAAAATAAATTAGTTTTGATTTTGCTTAAAACCTTACCCATATAAATTGTGCTTTAAGTGAGAAGCTAAATTCCTACAAATGTTTAAAGTATTGACATTTTTTTTTTTTTTACTTTATAAATTTTGAGCCCCTTTTCTTTTTATAGGAGTTACGTAAACGTTTACGTTATTTGAGTCATCTTCCTCTCAGTGCAGAATTCAAAGTAGCTGAATTGCTATTAAAGCCTCCAATAGTTTCTAAAGAGACTCTCAGATATTTCCGTGGTAAGGATGAAAGTAATCAATTTTCAATTTTATTTTGTCGTTTTACTCATTTGTGTTGGATTTCATAAGTCTAAGATGATGTGCTTTGATGCTAAGATGACTTTTTCTTTGTCACCAAAAAAAATTGCAGATGAGATTGAGAAACGGCGCAGAATTCGACAAAAGAAAAATCGGGAGGAACGTTCTCGATCAAAGAGGATTCAAGAAGAAGAAAACCTGAAATATGGAATTTGTAAGTGTTAAATGTATAAATGCCATAGTTGCACTTTTGCAGTCCTTTAAAATTATTCATTAGAAAGGAAAATTTGTTCTTAAGATATAATTGAAATTGTTGGTAAAATTTAGTATGCACATTTATTGGATCCAGGGGAAGGTGAACAAAAATATTAACCTCTTTCCAACATGTGCAGTTGGGCAAGCTTTGATAAAATCTTATTTCAATATAATTATGGAAGTTTTAAAATAATAACCTTATGTAAATTTGTTTACATATCTATTGGAAGTTCATTTTTGTTAAAATAGAAATTTCAATTATATTATTATTTTTTTATTTTTCATAGCTCCTGTTAAGATTGTGTTTTTATGTGTGCACGCATACTTGTCTAATCAATACAAGTCTCGAGCCACTACAGGGTTATTGAATGAAGTTGTTGTAAGGACATAAAGGGAGGAAATAAGTGCATATTATTGAGTGTATGTAGGATAGATAGACATTTACTTAAAAAAGCATCTTATGAGTCTGTTCTACAAAGTAAGATTTCTGGGAAATAAGCTGTTTGAATGAAACTTCTTCCTTACCAATGAAATACAAAAGAGAGTGAGGATGAGGCAACCCTATGTACATGGCATGATGTTTTACTTGTGAGGCTCTAAACTAAGGAATGTAGCTCCTCTGTACATTGTGCCATGAAAAAAGCAATACTATATCTTTGGGGAAAGTTGTAGGGTAGAAAAATAATTCATTATTGTTGCAAACGTGCATCAACCTCATTGTTAAATGTTTTAAGTTGTAAATGAAGATTGATTTTGATAAAACCTTATTTCAATATAATTATGGAAGTTTTAAAATAATAACCTTATGTAAATTTGTTTACATATCTATTGGAAGTTCATTTTTGGTAAAATAGAAATTTCAATTATATTTTTTTTTTTTTTTTTTCATAGCTCCTGTTAAGATTGTGATGAGCTCTGCTGCTGAAATTAAAAACCAGACTTCACAGTCTGGATTGAATATTCCTGTTTTTTCATGCACTCCTCGTCCTGTAATGGCCATTGACATCGTATCGCCATCAACTTCTGGAGATTCACCCATTGCTAGTCCATCTTCAGGTAGATACATTTTACAAAAGTTTTCAATCTTATTCTGGTATTTACCTCCTATAAATTGTGATTAGGAATAATATAGATATGAAACTGGCTTGCTCTTTTTCCAAAATGAGTGATGCACTTCTGTTTAAGTTATGTGATTACAGTTACAAAATGATCCATTTCAATGAGAATATTTTCAAAATGACTTTAAATGTCTTCTAACAGCCCATTATTGTTCAAACCAAAGGATTCTAGATTCAAGGAGTTCAATTTTCAAATAATAAAAGTTTATGAAAATTGCAAACTTTTATGTTTACAGATTCAGTCTAATCAATTGTAATTATTTCTCTTTATATATATATATATATATATATATATATATATATATAATATAATATATATATATATATATATATAGAAAAAAGATTTTTTTTTCCTAACCTGTGGCTTTTACTTTTGGTAATTTTTCTTCTACTTCAGAATTGTTTTTCTACTGAAACTATTCAAGATTTTTTCATTTTTAATAGCTGCCTCCTCCACCAGTGATGGCAATCAGACAACATCTTTTGCTCAGGTAATATTTCTTTCTTTCACCATCTGATCAGAATAAATCCCGTATCTTTGATGGTTATAAATTCTCTCCCTCCTCTTTTGTACCAAATTCTTAACTTAAGATAATTTTTTCTCTCTCTTCTCTTGAGAATGAGCCATAATAACTAATCTAACATTGTAATGCTTCAATCTGTTCACTGAACAAACTTTAGAAAAAATCATTTCATGTAGAACATCTGCAACCTTTCTAATTTTATAGGCTTGTTGATTTGACAGTAATCTCTATGGACTAATGGTTAATAGTGCATATTTATTTCCTAAGATTTTAGGAAGAATTGTTAAAATTTTGCTATTAGATTTTAAAATGAAATTCATTACAAAATAAGCTAAGATATATAAAAAATGAAGTAATCTTAAACTTGTGGCAAAAATTGGAATTTTTCCAATTTCTTAAAATAACCTCCAACTAGTACTTTATATCAACCCAGCAAGAGGTATTCCCTGGAATTCAGGAAATCATACATCTGTTATATTGCAACTAGGTAGAGTGGAAAAACTAGTCTTATTAAAACTTATGAATGAATTCAAAATGATAACTCTTAATGTTAAATGCATTTTCTTTTTTCTTAATAGACAATTGTTAATCTAGCTTTTTATTGTCTTTCTTCAGATGTTGAAGTCTGGCAAGCTTCGATCCTCTGTAGGTCCTGCCCAAGCCTCAGGGTCACTTAAACCTGATTCTGCTCTTCGGGGTCATCCAGCATGTGCCTCTGACAGTGATATTAGTGACAATGAAGACAAGATTCCAGTTCCAAACTTTCAAAACTCTTTTGGTGATGCTATACAAACAGCATTGGACAATTTAGAGCAGAACAATACAGGTGAGTTTGTAGCTTCTATTTTGGATTAAGCTCAATGGTATTTGCAAGTTTTAGCTTAGAATTTCCATCAGATGATCTAATTAACAAAGAAAAACAATTATTCTTTCACCAAAGAACAAATCAGGCTATTTAATCCTACAGGGTTAAAAATTTTAAAAATTATCTTAGTTTTTTTTTTTTTTCTTGTTGGTAGGACAATAACTCAGTCTGGGAAATCAATGTTAAATGAGTGTAAAAGTATGTGTAGTAAATTTCCCTTACTTGAACCAAATTTAAAAACATAGGGATCTAAGTCAAGAAATAAGTGAGTCTCTAAAACTAAAAACTGGAATAGATTATTTACATAATGAAAAACTTGGTCTTTTTTTTTTTTTCTTTCCCTCGCTCTCTCTCCAAAGTCACTGGTTTCCAAGAATTTAGTTAGACATCTTAGAATCTGTAATGACATAATTAAGTAATCTGATAATTTAAAGATTTCTCATGAAGTGAGGAAACTTGTGTTGAGGATTTTGTAAGTAGATGTAAAGTTAGATTTAAAATTGTCTAAAGAGGCTACTTTTAGAAGGAAAAAAAAATAAATGAATAAAATTTTTTTTTTTGTTTCTCACATTAGTGTGAAGCAATATTTTCAAGTGATATCACTAAAAACATTGTTGTAATTGTAATGATGAGATTGCTGAGAAGTTAGTTTCATGTGTCTGTTTCTTATGCTGACAAGTGGACAACAATCTCCATCCTTTCTGGTTTTGAATGATTGATTTTAGAGTTGAACAGGTACTGATCTTGTCATATATAAAAATAACTAGTAAAAGCACTAATTTTTATGATTTCTATAATCTGTTCTCATCTCAGCCTTAGAGTTAGCAATGTGACTTATTTTTGTGTTTAATCCTTATGAGAATTTCTTTTTTAATAAAATAAAGGCTTTTTATATTTTAAATGTGAATTGATATGATTGCAGATGAGAAGAATTTATTAACTAGCTTACTTGTGTATCTGTCTATATTTCTGAGATAAGGTATTATGTACGCTATTTACATCATTCGGACTATTGTCCTCATATTATTACATTTTGGCCATTGTACGCTCCAGACTTCTTCAGGTGGTTGGAATGTCGAATTGAACCCTTTATTTTGCTCACTGGGGTAGACTGTTCTAGTTCCACGGATGTCAGTTATCTCCTATTTAATTCCCTCTCTAAGTTCTCCACCGCCTTAACCACGTATTGAACTCGCACTGTTACTGGATCTAACTAACGCCATGTATCTTTGAGGACATCTGTGTATGAATTTCTGGGTATTATAAACCTAATGTCTTCAGCAATCTTTTTTTTTTTTTTTTTTTAACCAGTGCTCATATTGCAATTTTTGCTGTTATTAATGCTTTTCTCTGGCACTCCTCATTACTGGTTCCCATATCGTATTCATGCTTGGTTGGCTCAGGAGATTTTTGTGGCCTAGTATATGTGCCGATTCCTTAAGTTTACAAATTTCCCAATGGTGTTCTTTGTCTATGATCTCAACCTGATCCCACAGAGGGCGGTGATCTCCCTTTTCTCTCTATATATGGTCAGCCACGCCTGATTTTTTCCACTTCCCCCTCATGTTACAGCTTTCTGGTGTTCTTGAAGCCTTACCTTAAGAGGGTGGCCTGTCTCCCCTTTTTCTTTTCTTTCCTTTCCCTTTCCGCAGCTGCACAGGATAGCATATACACCGTCTTTAGTAATGTTCTCTATGGGTCTTACTCAGGAGAGATATCTGCGAAGTGTCGTCAAGCTTTTGAAGGTTGTCCCGATGTTATATGGACCACAGGTCCTTTTGTATTTTCTCTGATACCCCCTTCACATAAGGCAGGCTGAGTGTTGTTGTCGTCCTCCTCCTCTTGTACCTGCCTATCCCAGTTTTTTGGGGCTGCTGCTATGTACCCAGGGTAGTTGTTATGTTGTAGGGTACTACTTATACTGACCAATTCTTTTTATTTAATGTCTCTGGGTTGCCACTTATGGTTGGTGTTGTATGCAGTGGACGATCCCTTTTCTTTATGCTGTATGGATGGTGGGACACATAGCACAGTGGATAAAGGCGTTAGTTAGATCCAGTGACAGGACCCAAAGAGTGTGAGTTCAATACCGAGTTAAGGCAGTGGAGAACTTGGAGAGGGGAATTAACAGGAGATAACTGATTATGGACATCCATTAGACGTGGAACTAGAACAGTTTACCCCTGTGAGCGAAATAAAAGGTTCAGTTTGACATTTCAACCACCTGAAGAAGGCTGGAGCATACAACGGCCAAAACGTAATAAATATGGCAACAAAGATGAGGACAATAGTCCAAATAATGTAAATAGTGTATCTGACTTATACAAATTTTCAAAGAAATTGATATTGAGAGAAATAATTTTCAAATGTTCTTTTTATTTGTTTGTTCTTTTTTTAAAGAATAGTCTATGCCTAGTCTTCATACTTTTTTTTTTTTTTTTCCCTCCAGGAACTTCTGCTATTGCCTCAGCTGGAAAAAAGAAAAAAAAAATGAAAAAACTCCTCTTTACTACTACAATGGCCAGGGGAAAGTGAAAAATCTGAATTCTGACATTTTCTTACACACTCCCCCCCTCCAACATTTAATTTTGTTATGTATACCAAAAATATTTTCTTTTTACTTTGTTAATTAATTAAAATAGTTTATTTTTATTTTCTAGTTCTCAACACATTTTTGCCTTCACAGAGATCTCTCCCTTAGCTGAAACTTTGAGTGTAACTCCCATAAATTATTTCTAATGTTCTACTGGTTTAATTTATTTCTAGGAGTGGTGCTGAGTTCTTCAGTTCCCACCCAACCATTAGTTTTATTCCTGTGCACTTTTTTTTATTACCCCCATTAACTTTAAAGTTATTTATTATTGGTTTCCTTTTAATATAAATATTTATATTCATTTAAAAAAAAAAAAAAGAAAATTAGGCAGCAATATTTGACTTTATGTAGAGACTTAGCAAACTTGTCCTTCCTCTAAAGTTATCTTTAAGTCTAGAATTGGCTACTCTGCTGATAATTCCTTGCCAGCAATTTTGCCAAGGTTCAGATTCTGTTTTTGTTAGTGGACAAAGGATATGAATTACATGTTGGCTGTTTTTACTTTGCTAAAATATTTCCTTTTACTTTCTCCCCAAAAGTGAAGTTGGGGGAACAATCTTCCTCTTGCTTTAAAAATTATGCTGAGGTTTTGGTGGTGGTGGGGGGGCTATAAATGGCTTGTGAATATCTTGCAACTTGAAATTTATTTTAATCAAGGAAGTCTATTGTAAAAACAGTGCAGCTGCTACTTGGGAACACAAAACAAATCTTACCAGACAACCCTCTTCCTTCCCTAATGCTTTTTTTTTCTTTTTTCTTTGTGAGGGATGGGGGTTCAGAAGACACAACTCCTTGGAGCAGCATCAATAGCTGGCTATAATTGTAAAGTTTTAAAAATAAACTTTAGACAAATAAAATCCTATATCTTTTTTTTTTTTTTTTTTTCCATTTATTTTTCTTTGCTTTCAACTGACAGCATTTTTTATTTTTGGAAATATACACCTAATAGCTAAATTTAGCTCATAACTCAATCTGCATATTGACCCCTCCCCTTCAGTTAGAGATATCTATCTCCAGTTGTTAATGAATATTGACTGTATGACGACTCAGATTTTTCTTTTGCACTAAATATTACTTTATTTCAGTGACAAATGTGAACTTTTGTATTGATGTGCTATAAACAGTGAATAACTTTTCTTTAAAAATTCTAATAAATTGAAACTTAGTTACTTTTTTTAATCAAAACTAGAATGTAATAAATAAGCCATGAAGTTAATGTCTTTACTATATATATATATATATATATATATATATGCTTCAAGGGTTGTATTATCACCTCTCCAATTTTCTAATGAGTTTAAACAAAGTTTGACAAAAAACATTATCCCTTTAAATTTTTTTTTTTTTTTAGGCAGTATACATTTGTTGATTTGCTCACTGTTTCCAGTATTGTGTTTACCTTTGAATCCTTAATACCAGTATAAGTTGCTTGCTCTCTGCTTGGGTGGAGGAACACTGCAGTAAAACATACAAACAAGAAAGGCAAAAAAATTTTATTTGTTAGGATACACTTTGTTGAAAATTGGCACAAATCAAATTTACCCTCTTAAGTAATTTTTTGAGATGGTGTAAGACAGGAAGAGGAAAGCAAACCATAAAAGGTTGAGGTTTTGATGTTGAATAACTGGAATGGCTCTTCTGGCATTTATTACAAGTTATCGAAAAATGTTAGCCATAAATTTTCTATTGTGACTGAAGAACCATAAAAAACATGGCTTCACTTATAGAAAACTTAACTGAATTGTGTGATTATAATTTAATTACCAGCTGTTTTTTTTTTTTTTTTTTTTTTCTGAATACCAGACTGTAACTGACTTGAATATTTGATACTGACAAATTGCGGATAGGATTAATGTAACTTCTCGTTTTGTTTGGCAAGTGCAATCTTTAAGCCCTTTAATGTGTCATTTTTTTCATTATCATGAACTATTCTTTAGTCACATGAATAAAATAAATTTTAATGCAGGTTTTTCGCATTATTACCAGACAATGAAGTAGTTGCTTACAATGCCAGTATAATTCCCAAGGTTCTAATTTGGTATTCAAGTAATATTACTTCATGTTAAAATATAAAACTGAACATGAAAATTATTGCTTTGGTTTGAACTATTCTAACCAGAAATATCCAAGCATTAGGAAGAAATTAATTTTATTAACCAATTTTGACAACTGCAGTAAAAGATCAACAAGGGACTATTTTCTGAAAGAGTGAAAATATATATATTAGACTGTCATGGTTGACAATGTTTTAGTAAAAAAAAAAAAAGTTACTGTTTTGGTCTGTGGCTTGTTTTATTAATCATCACAGTAAGGAGTTTTTTTTTGTTTTTTTTTTTTTCTTAGGCATTATTACAGCACACCATTGTACCTACACCTATAATAAAAACAGTGACTGAATAGGTCTAGAGTGGTTGCATTTGATTTAGTAATAAATTAACATTTCACAAATGGTAAAAATAAAAATTCTATTTCATTTAGATTAAAAACATTGTTGCAACAAGCCAGGCATATAAACTAAACTGCAAGGAGTCAATTTTGACTAGAATTATTTCATATTTGCATCTGTCCTTATAGTTGTCTAAGATATACTACACAGATCTACTGCACCTTTTATATATATATATATATATATATATATATATATATTTGATAAATATAAATATATATATATATATATACACAGCAATAAATTTTCCTATTTTCCTATTTTGAATTACAATTTTCAGTACCTGATTTTCTTACCTAAATGTTTTTCCATTCCTATTAATGTTAACTCAAAGTACAAAGCTTCAAGTTGCCTGCATGTAAAATATTTCAAATAAAGACTTTTTTTTTTTATTTTCAAAATCAGGTATGGTTAGTAGTGGTGTAACTTTAATTGATGGTTAGTGTTCTAGGGTTAAAAGGAGATTCATACATTAACAATCACTAAAAGATGCCTTATTCAGTAAAGAAATTTTTTTTTTTTTTTTTTTTTTTGAGACTAAATATAAACATCATCTCTGATGTTCAAATCTTACATTAACCCCTTGTCAGTGTTTGTTTTAGTGGCTTGTGCCCTTACTTTGAATATGGTAGACTTTTAGAGCCTTTAATTTTAGTAACTTGCAAAGGTAAGTTACATTTGGAGCCTATTCTTTATCTAAGCCATACTGATTACAATAAGTTAGGATGGAAGTAGTAGTAGCCAAATTTCTATTCAATGTTACTAGAGTAACAAATTAAAGATCAGTATATTTGTAAAATTGTGTATTTTTGCCATTTGTTTTCAATTTAGTTGGTTCTACAATTTCTATTCTAAAGAGAACTTTGTATTTAGTAAAGTGGGAGACTAGGTTTATCATAGAAGAAAGTGATCTGATATTTAGTGCTAATCTAGGTACAAAACTATACCTAACATTTAAAATTATATTTTTAATAATGAAAAAATCTTCCTTGACGCTTTTATATTAGTTTTAAGTTGAAATTAAATTTAATATATTTAAAAAAATCATCAAACTGTTGCATTTCAAAACTAATTTAAATTGATTTTTTTTTTTTATTTCTAAGAAAAGTTTTTTTTCTGAAATTTTAAGGAATATTAGGTGATTTAACATAATTAATCTGATTTGAAACTTTTTTTTTTTGCATTTTTCCACATGACGGTAGATTATGTTGGTAGCATTTTAACACCTTGACAAATTTTTATCCAATGTTCTATGGGGCTTTTAACCTTAGAAAAATAATTGAGCAATATAATGCAAATGCCTTTTGAGTATGTGGTAATCTTAAAAAATTCAGAAAATATTCTCCATGATCTAATGTTTTATTGAATTTTATCAGAATAATAGCAACAACTATCGTGTCATATCTGAAAAATCATATCTATAAAATTCAGCACATTTTATACATAAAAATTCAAAATTCTTTTTTTTTAAAATATTTTGGGGTACAGATTGTAATAAGCTTTATGATAGTAAAACTATATTTACTAATCTTTTAATTCCTCTTGAAACTGAATTTTAATTTTTTTAAAATGTAAATTATTTTAATTTAAAAATGTAAAAATTAATTTTTCATCAGACAATACTGACCTTAATGTTATTCATAAAAGCAGTGAAAGCTTCAATTAATTTTTATTGCATTTTAGGGTCTGATTTTTTGCAAAAAAAATTCTCCAAAGAATTCTGCTTTTAGCTAATAGTCACTAAAAATTATATCAAATTTCAAGTTTTCATAAAATTAAATAAGCACAATTATTTGTAGTCTACAATACAGCAAGTACACAAAAAAATACCAATAAATGTCATTTGTGAAAATTTGAACTGAAAACTCAGCTATATGTAATAATTATAAAAATCTGCCATCCTAAATCAATACAAAATTATATTTAGTTTAAATTGTGCTGTAAGAAAGTAATTTCCAATAATTTAACATGATCAAAGATAAACATTATTACCACTTTGCTGTACAGTTGTTAGTGTATGGACAAACTGTTTAACATTGAGAACTTTAAAATCATGTTAATGCCCAAGTGGTGGTTTAAATTTTTATAAATTCATTCCACTCAACTTTCATGTAATTAGTAATAGATTATTTGGAAATTTATATTTAGTTTCTAAGAAATCATGTTCATCATGTGGCAGGTCCGCATGATTTATTTAAAAAAAAAAAAATTATTTTGGAAAATTTAAGTGATATGAAAACTGCCTGAAGCACTTTGAGCTTTTCCAATTAGATATTCCCCACCCACGTTTTTGTTGCTTAAATAAATATTTAAGTCACTTTTTTTTTTTTTTTTTTTTTAAAGATGTATAATAGAATTGAGATTACTAAGAAAAAAAAAAAAAACTTGGAATATGAAAATCAATAAAACTATATTCAATTTTATAATTAAAAAAAAAAAAATTGGTAAGGGAGAAATATTCTATATTTCTAATCTTGGTTTAAACTGAATTAGACA